TATTCGATTCGAATTTATTGACTGTCGTTAAGGTTTATTCAGTAGCACGTACATAGCTAACTTTTAAATTTTAGTTTAAATCAATTTTTATTATTCGAAAAATTAGGTGTAATTGTTAAAAAATCATTAAACTTTTGCAATCATTGATAAAAAAACTTTGTACGAATATTTTATTAAATTTATATCAATTTTAATAATTCTAAATAAAGATTAATAACCCGAAACTTAAAATTAAATGGAATTTTATATAAATTAAATCAGGTTAATTGATTAAAACATTGTTGTTTTTGATAATTTTTATATGGAAATTTTTTTTATATACAAAGTTGTTATCAAATTAGAATATTATATGACAAGTTAATTTTATGAACTTTGCCTTTAATAAATAATTTTCCTGTTTACAATTTGCTATAATATACTTACATATATGTATATGTTCATAGTGTCAAAATTTGCAAATACAACAATAATCTAATAATAAAATTTTAGAATTTTATAAATCAATTTATTGATTTTTTTTTGTTTGTATAGCAATTTGTTACAGTTGCTACTGTTGTATAGAAATTTTATATAATTGTACATTGTGTGTATGTAATTTCTTATTTTTTTTCATATGTGTTTCGTTTTAAGATATGTGAAATTGATTACTTTCACTTACTTATTCTAAGTTTTTTTTTGTGAAAATCAATTGTCCTTTTAATACCATCAAAATATTATATAATAATGTATTACTTACTCAAATAGCAAAATTGAATGTTTATTTTGCTTGAACTTATTTTTAAACCATTTTATAATTGACAATAAATACTTAAATTGTTTTTGTTATATAAAATAATTAATATTTTTAAAAAATAATTTCTAATTTAGGCTGTATTCTGTATTCTATAATTTTCGACATGTTCTGTATTGTATCTTAAAAAAATTTTACAAGAACATTTGAACAAAAGGAATAACAAAGCCAAGACCAAAATTTTTATATCACAATGTAAGAAAAACCTTTGTTTTTGTTTGACAATACAGTGCCATTTACTCTTTGATTTAAATACTGTTTAAAGGCGGATTCAAAAAATTGTTACGATATGGATTTGCCTCTATGCAGCATATTTAGTCGTTAATTTAAGGACTAAATATTTAAAAGATTAATACGGAAGATTTTAAGCAAAAGCAAACAAATTTATTAACTTCATAGCTCATTTTCGTTTGTTGCTTCAATACTATTACCATAACTTTTTAAATAAAAATTTTGTATAAATATGCCTATGCATATGTGTGTTTATATTAAACTAAATTTTTATAAAGAATTTTTTTATAGACTCTCATGCCAAACTTATATATTATAACTTATTAAAAATGTTATTTATATTGGTTACGTTTTCATCAATGGAATTTTGTTCTTTTACGCTGTATATTTACGTTATTCATTATTAAGATTATAGAATATTAAATAAAAACTAATTTAAAAAGAATTTTTATTCAAATAGATTCGAGTGCGTTTGATGAAAATTTTTATACAATTTTAGATTTGATTTAAAAATTAAAAATTATTTCTGTTTTAATATTCCCGTCGAATTCGGAAGAACTCTGTTATTTTCTGAAAAAAGAAATTATACCTGCATATAATTATATTTTTTCATTTGTAAATATTTTTCAGTTTTTGATTGGAATAACAACATGATAAACTTTTGATCATATGTCATAAATATTGTATAATTATATAATTTAAGCACTAAATACAATTTAAACTGAAGTTGTACTATATAATTAAGGATGAAATCTAATAAATATTTTATTATCGTGTGTAAGTTCCATATGTCTTGAATTCAAGGATACTTAAAAAATTTGAAAATCTTTTGAAAAACTTAAAACAACATACATATTCGAAATTTTAATTTTGTTTTGTAATTAAATATTTTATTTTTAAATAATTTACAATATAATATTCAAAAAAATAGCAAACAACGATGAATGTCGTCCATAAACAGCAATAATTTCAAGTTTATAATAATGAACTCTTAGAGCGGTAATCATATTATGTTTTTTATTTGTTTGAGTTCATGTTTACAAACTTAATAAACACAAACTTACAATAATTGCTTGAGTGAACAAACATTTTCCAAATAATTTGTAGAAAAATTTAATTTAAATTCAAATGACAAAAAATCCTTTTTTTACAAAAAAAATTGCTATTTTGTTCTCTGATAAATAAATTCATATTTAAGTAAATTACTTAACTAAATTCTTTTAGTTATATGTACATAGTATGTAGTTTTCCTAAATTAAAAGTGAAACAGTGGGAGTGAAACAGTTGAGCTTTAACAGTTTTTCATTAATTTATTTATAAAATGTTTACTAAAATATTAAGCAAAGTATGATTTTTATTTTTATTTTTAAAATATAGAAAATATAAATGATATTATGTTGTATATAAATGAAAATTAACCTACATATATGTAAAATAGTGTTATGTGAAACCGCAAAAAAGGAAAAATCTTTCTAAAAATACAAAAACATACACGAAAGTTAAACTTTATATACATATATTATAAGTGTATGCATATGTATATATTTTGTTCTACAAAACTTATTATTGTATTTTATACTACATAATGTAAGTAAACATATTTCATATATAGAAATGAATGAATTAAGAATGATTTAAATCCTTCAGTAGATATTTTTGCCATTTGCTTTTATTTTTAGCACCTTAATCGCATAACTAAGCTACACTTATGTACTAAATTTTTTTTTATAAATAAAAGAACAAATTTGTTTACCCAAAGATTAAAGAGAAAAAAGGTATAAAATAAGAAAACTTCCGTAATAATTTTTTTTTGTAAATGACAGATGTACGGCAAACTGCATTAAAACTGTAAACAAAAACTACCCACTATTATTTCATCTTCGTTTATAACTTTAATATGATATCTCTGTCATTTTTCGATTAAGTTATATACAGGTATTCGTCGCTTAATTTGGAAGTGCACTTATTTATTGAAGTTTTGTTTGAATTTTAGGTTATAAATTTATAAAGTAAGCAATTTACGTAAATATGAGAATTTTAAACTGTTATACATTAAAAGAATGAGATGCACATGTGTGTATAATTGTGTAGGTATTTATGAAAAACATAATATTGATGTGTACTTAATACTCTATGTTTAGGTTAATATGTAAATATTTATTATGTTGGTTAATTTTCATTTTTTCACAAGCATGTATAAATTAAACAATTTCACTTTTAAAAATACAAAAATGAAATAGGTATAGATTGAAGAACAAAACTAAAATGGGTATTTATAAAATATCCAAATTCAAATAATACCTCATGTAAAAATATATATATGTACATATTTGTATGTATATGAACATATTCATAGGAAAGTACATGTATGCATGTGTTTATCCTTTATTATGCTCATTTCAAAAAGTTTTGATTAATTTGTACGATATTGTTTGAGAGGAACAAGTATAATGTAGAAAAAGAATATTAGAATGAATTGAAATTAAAATTCAAGGATTTCGCCTTTTTTTGCTATTTAAGACGAGTAAGTATGATTTCATTTTTTAAGTACAAGAATATAACATATTTGTACGTGCATATTATATTTTTAAGGCATATGAGTAAAAAAAATAAGGTAAGATCTTTAATTTTAAACATCCATTTGTATTTATTTTGTATATTTTTTTAATGATGTATATACTCATGTATATACCCTTAAATGTAAACCAACGTGCATATAAAATCTGCAAAATGTAATTAAAAATTTTTAAACAGGTGTATAATTATCGTATATATTTGCTTTCATTTTAATTAGGTTTTATTTTATGAAGTGCTTTGTTCAGATCGTTTTTCTCGTCAAATAATGTAAAAAAAACCCCGATGTATGACATGTTGTTGCAATAAGATTTGTGATACAACACAATACATATTATATAAACAATATGGTTTCAATATCTTATTGAGTAATCTATTAGTAATTATTGATGTGCTAGTAATTAGGGGTAATTCTCGAAAAGTATGTAGAAGATTACAATAATATTAATCTGTGCGGTATTAAAAAATGTCAAGTATTGAGAATAACGTGTGTGGAAAATGGACTCCAATATCTATCAAGCATTTTTTCTTCTTCTCAACACTGATTATAAACTGTCAGAAGTCGTTATATATGTGAGGTATGACTGCATTACAATGTTAAACATATAATAACGCTAATTCAAGTAATTAAAAAACGACTTATTGTAACATATTGTAATTACAACATATTGTAATGAGAATTTACGATCCGAAAAATTTGAGTTGCAGGATGAAATACTATATTAATATGTATATATATAAATGTGAATTTTCTCCAAAATGATTTTATCGACTGCGTCAATTTAAAACGAAAAATTGAAAATGAGTCCAATTTAAAATGAAATATTGAAAAATTTTTTATTACCTAAAGCGTACTTTTCGTCTACATGCATTTAATTTCATAGCAAAACTAATAGAACAAAATGCTTCATGAAAACGATAAATATGATCTTTACCTTAGATAAGCAATTTTTTATTTGATATGTTAATATTATGCATTTAACGTTTTTTTTTCCTTTTTCACTCCTTGGAGCAGCATAGGGCTAGTGCATGATATCATGTCCTAGTTTCATAGCATCATAGAGTTAGCTAGGTAGGTGACTAGTCTGCCGTAGTTTTATTTATATTAAATATTTAAATGCATTTAACGTAATAGTTAATAAAAATAATATTTGCAATCATGGGAAATATAGGATATTAAACTACGTTATAGATAGACAGTTTATATACATACGTGTATTGGTAGTTTTCAAATATAATATTTTATGTTGATGTGAAAATGGTGTACAATTTTATGTATTGAGAGAAAGCATATGTGAACTTCTCCACCGACACTAAAAAAAATATAGTTTGAGCAAATTTTCAATATGTAAGTATGCTTAGACCTAAATTTTATTTCCATTTAAATACGTGTTAAAATACAGTCATGGTTTGTTGTAATAAAAAGTAAGTCAAACATTAGTTTCTGTAAATTGATCGATAAAAAAATACTTTCTCTCTCAGTATAGAAGTGAAAAATAGTGTTTACATTCACATATATGTACATATACTACTGCATTAATTCCAATTTTTTTAATATAACAGACATACTTCTTCATCTAACAAAAGTGTGCTTAAATACATTGTTATATTCATTATTCATCTTTATATTAAATGTTATCCTAGAAGGGTTCAACGAATTACTTACACTTTTTCTTTCAAGTGGGAATTATCTTTATTTCGGGGAATTACTGTCAACTTTACATTGGAAATTTAAATAGACATATCCCCTACTTAAATAAACATAATATTATGTGTGCATATACATTAACAAAAGTATATATTATTTAAGTATATACTAATACATCCAGTATGTACTCTGGATTGTATAAAAAAAATTAGTTTTCAATTTAACTTATTTTTGTATACATTTGTCTTTAAACTTCTATGTCTGAAAACGTTTCGAATTTCGGTTTTATGTTTTTATTGTGTCGTTAACAAAATTTACTTTATGTAAATTTTTAAATGTTTTACATAATATGTAGTTGCTACAACGTATACGATCTACAAAGAGAAACCCATATATCTAATACGTCAAACAAAAGTTTTTCTGGACAATTTTTGTTGTCTTAGACCAGGATTTTAACTATAATTGAAAATGGTTTCATTCTCGAGATTTTTAAAATTCAAAACATGTTATACTTATTGAAATTGTTATACAATTATTTTCATTATTTTGTTCGTTATATTTATTTAAATTTAACTTGATTATATATTAATTTTAAAACTAATATAATAAAATTTAATATACAAATAGTATTAGCACCTTTCTATTTACATATTTTATTCTTATTATACTTTAAACGTGACGATTAAATGGAAAGTATACATTTGTTTAGCGTTAAACAATACTATGGTTATCAAGGTAATCCATAATTTTGAATTTAATGAAGTTTATTGGAATCAATAGCATTGCTTAGATTTGAAAATTGCTAAAAATATTTTTAAAAAGGTTTGCATAAATAAAATGGTTGCATATAATACTTAACTTTTGACATTATGGCCCTTATTATGATCGGCGAAGCGAATGATATTTTTGGCGAATATAAATTTTTGGTATTATGTTTGTTGAACGCGCCTAAATTTTAGGCGAATGAATATCAAATCTGTTGAATGAAAATTCTGTGTGACAAGTTTGGCGAATGAAAGCAAAAATCAAATTAATACATAAGTGTTTTTTTATTAGATATTATAGCATATATAGTGATATAATGGAAAAATCTCAACTATCTGTAAAGTAAATTCACAAAATTCTACAAATTATTGTAAAAAATATTGATTGTTTAATATTAATTTAAGCGTGAAAAAACGAACACGTAATTGCTAAAGGATAGAAAAATTGTTTTTGCAAAAAAGCAAAAACAATGTACATACATATGTGTGGTTTTAACCTTATTATTTCCGTTAGGTTTTCTGATGTCTTGCAGTAGCAACATTTTGGATCTGGCGAAAGAAAGCATTCGCCGACCATAATTTAAAATATCATTCGATTCGCTTAGTCTATTAGACTCGCCTATCCATTCGCTTCGTCGATCATAATAAGGGTATATGTTTTAAGAACCTGTTTTTTCTCTATTTGAATTGACTTTAAACCAAAATCTTTTCCAAAATGAATACTCACATTTTTTTAGATTTAACATCCCACTATTCCATATTTAGTGTTAAATTTCTTATTTGTATAGCACTTGTTTGAATTTCATTCTAACTCAAATTATATTTAATATGCTCATATAAATTAGATGTACTTTTTGCCCGAAATACTTTTTTTTTGTTTTGTTAAAAAACAATGTACTGTATAAGTTAACAATGAAATGTAAAAACAAAAGAAAATGTAATCCTTGTAGAAAAACGAAATTTCCATCTTTTCTTCTTTACGTAATGCGTGTATGGGTATTGATAAAAGAGAGAAGCTAAATAAGAAATTTAATATTCAATTAGAGAATGAATGTGTATCATGGGCAATCATTTTCGATTTTTTTTTAAATTAAAGATGAACTTAAACAAGAAAAACAACAATTTCAGCAATTTGAAGAAGATTTTTAGGTTTTAATAGACGTCAAAATGAATTTAACTTATTTACTTTTTCATTTTCTGTTGATATTCAACCACTTAATGCAAATTTGTAATTAAAATCGAAATGCTATGCGATTCTATATTAAAGCAAATACTTCGAGAAATCGAAATTATTAAAGTTTGAGTTTGACATGCCTGATTTAGGGATTCGATAATCAGAAATATAGCCACAATATTTTTATTACATACTTATGTATGTACATACACTATAAGATTGATTTAATATAGTTATGTTGAAATCCTGAGAAATATTAATAAAAATCATTTATTTTTTGTTTTGAGTTTTCCAAAGAGCTGATTTCCGTATAAATTTGTTATTTTACATTTAATTGATAAAAAGATTTCTTGTTGAAATATAGGTATTAAAAACTTAGTTAACTATTAGTGTAAATAAACTCAAATATATACATATATAAACTTCTAATATAGTATTTAGCACTTATATTCCACTTATAATTTTATATAACATTACATTCATTATACCCATACGTTCGTACGGGTATAATGAATGTGTATTATTATGACATACGTTCGTACGGGTATAATGAATGTTTTTGATCAGCGTCAAATTCTGTATGTTTATAATGTATGTTTTTGATCAGCGTCAAATTCTGAGTCGATTTAGCTTTGTCTGTCCCACCGTCCGTCCGTCCATCCCAACGATAATTAAAAAACTAATTGAGCTAAGTTCACCAAATTTTCACAAATGATTTATTGTAGTAAGTGCCAGAAATCTATTTAAATTGGACATGATCGGAGTACCGGTTCGGGTAGCTGCGATACAACTTCAAAAGTTATTTGGCCATATCTCAGAAACTATAAAAGCTGTGGTGTTGAAATTTCACATAAGCAAATATATTAGTAGGGCCGATGTGCTTGATAAAATTCGTTATAATTTTTTGGCTCTTTCTGGTAGCTGCCATACAACTTTAATAGTAGTTTGGCACACACAGTATTTTGAAAAACACATAGTGCTGAAATTTTGCATAAATTAATATGGTAATACGGCAACTTAAAGTCATAGTCTATCCCATAGTCAATTATGGCATATTTATTCGTACATAGGATAACAAATTCGTATGGGTATCACAGAGTTGACAAGGTCAACTCAATTTTTTCTCGTTTCGCATAACATGGTTTACATAATTGTCCAATTGTATAATCTTTTAACGGTCTTGTATTTTATGTAATAAAGAAAGTTATTCAAACCGAATTTACATAATTCAATTTATTTATAAATTAATAAGTTTCAACTTTAATTAATTTTCATGATTTTGTAAAAATTACAATATATTTTGTATTTTATCCATTGAAATCTGGGTCAAAAATCATTTATTTAAAAATTTGTTACTTGTTCTACTCGTACTATTAAATTTAGTTCTTTTAATTAACCTTGAGTAATTTGTAGACAAATACGTATAGTAAGTATATAGAACAACATCAAAAATGTTTAACTTTCCAAAAAAAAAGGAAAGAATTTTTTAAATTAGATTTAATAGACTTTTATTAAATAAAAGAGACTAAATATTAAATTAATCATGTACGAAAACTTTGCTTTTTCATACGCTAAGTACAAAGAAAATTTTCGAGGGTAAAAAATAAAAAAATTAAAAATAAAAATGAAGGCTATTAAAATTCGAAAAGCTTCTCACATATTTAACTTGCGAAATAAAAAAGTATGAGTTATGACTTTGTGGAACTACTTCAATAAAAATTAATACATATACGATTAAAGATTTGGGGAGTATTAAGTAGTCGATTTTAAACGAATTACGAGCTCCAGGCATTAGCTTAAACAAAATATGTTGAAGTTATTTTTGCTATAAATAGGAAATTAAATCTGCTCGGCATAATGATAATGTTAAAATTTGTAAAAAAAATTTGGAATATTCAAAACAAGGCGATAATGGGAAATACTATCATTCTATTAGACAGTGAAATTTAATAGAATCTGCATCAAAATTGCACTTGTAAAAATGACTACATAATGAGTACCAATGTTATTTGTAACGTACTTACTGAAACTTACTTCTTTATTTGCAAAGTTAAGAAAAAATGACCTAAATTATAGACATATTATGTTCTTGTTAAGAGAAGGGCTTTGACTTAATTGGCAGAAAATCAGCCTTGTCAGCACTTACACTGATATCTCAAAATTAATTTAAGCAGTGATGAATACCAGCACTGATTCTTGTTTTGGAAGGAATCGAGATAATGGTTCAATTAAATAAATTTAAATTATATAATTAATTAAATAATACATAATGAATTGAATTATTCAATTAATTTAATTGAACCTCAAAAATTTTAATACTATGTCGAAAATTTGGACAAACGCCTTAAGTGATATGATAACCCAGTAAAAGTATTTAACCCGTGTTTGAGTTTATATGGAAGTTACCATATAAACTATATGGTATATAAACCATCGCTTAGACTTTTAGAGCATCAAAAATTAGGCTAATTTTTGCTCAAAGTTATAGGTGCCAAATCTCAATGGTTTCCGGGATGAAGAGATTTTAAAAAGATTTTTGTAAGATTGTGAGAATAAAGAAAACAAAAAAAAATTTTTTAATTCTTGCTATTCGGAAACTACAAGGGGTGAGAAATTCGTCATACCTTGTCTTAAAGAATTTGATCCGCTTCTTCAAAAAAATTTCGCTCGAAAGTCATATTTATCGGAGACTAGATGGTAAGAGAAAGTACAAGCAAATTTTCTTTAAATTCCTATATTTCGAAAACCGTAGAGCTTTGACACCAACTTTTGAACAAAAGTTTTACCGATTTTCGATTTTCTAGACGATGATTGTATAATATTCTATTCATTACCGAATCAGTGTGTAATAGTATGACCGAATATATGTAATCTTAAGTTGTTGGTTTAAATAACATAAACCACCTCTTAAATAAGACTGCTATAATAAGTTAATTTCGCAACGCAACTAATATTATGTAAGAAATTTAAAAATTTAAACATTTTAAGTCGTAATTAATAATACTAAATTATGCCATTTAAATATAAATCTGAATTGTATTATACAAACACTAGCTATGTATAACATATGTGGGTACATTCGATGAAATCTATCAATAGTGAAATATTTCAAAGAAATTCAAAATCATTAAATTACTTTCATAACAGATATTGTGTATTTTATGTAAATACGCATGCAAATGTACATATTTTTTTAGCATATATTGCACATACTTATATGTTTTCAATATATTTTTACATGGAAACACATTTTATGAGCTCCAATCCAATAATTATACCCGTGCGAACGTATGTTCGAAATTTGTCTTATCGTTTTAACGCTAAGAAATAACGTCCTGAGATATAGACTTAAGTGTATGTTTTTGATCAACGTCGAATTCTGAGTCGATTTAGCTTTGTCTGTCCGTCCGTCCGTCCGCCCCAGCGATAACATAAAAACTAATTGAGCTAAGCTCATCAAATTTTCACGTATAATTTATTGTAGTAAGTGCCAGACTCCAATTAAAATTGGACACGATCGGGGTACTGTTTCGGGTATCTGCCATACAACTTCAAAATTTAGTTTACTACATCTCAGAAACTATCCAAACTGTGGTATTGAAATTTCACACAAGCGAATATTTTAGTAAGGCCGATGTGCTTAAGAAAAGTCATTGAAATTGCTTGGCTCCTTCTGGTAGCTGTCATACAATTTCAAAAGTTATTTGGTTATACCTTAGAAAATATAAAAGCCGTGGTATTGAAATTGCGTACAGACCAATACATAAGTGGGGCCAAGGTGTTTGATAAAAGTCGTTGAAATTGCTTGGCTCCTTCTGGTAGCTGTCACACAACTTCAACAGTATTTTGGCCATATCTAAGAAAATATTAAAAACACAATACTGAAATTTTGCATATATTAATATGGTAATATGGCAACTTAAAGTGATAGTCTTTTCTATAGTTAGGTATGACATATTTTTTCGCACATAGAATAACAAATTCGTACGGGTATGACAGAGTTGACACGGTCAACTCTATTTTTTCTCGTTTTTTCTTTAATTTTTCATTATATTTGAAATCTTCTTCTATTTATTATTCCTTAAAACATTTTTTGCCAAATATGTTCAAAAATACCAATTAGAAAAAATTTTTGACTGTTAAAAAGCATTTTTAAAATGCATTCAAAATTTCTTATAACACAAACAATTTAATTTCCAAATTACATACGAGTATTATGTGTTTTCACAAGGTGGTATAAAAAGTCGATGTATTGACGGATCAGAGCAAAACTTTACACTATTTATATTTGTCTATATATACGTAAAAAATATTTTTTTCACTACTACAAATTTGCTCAATTTAAAAAAAATGTTTTTAAAATTTTTTTTTTGGTGTTTATTATTAATGGTTAGTTTGTGAATAAAACTGGAAATGAAACATTTTACGACAATAGTATTGTATAGCAATAATAATTATTTAGTTTTTTAGTATTTTTTGTATAAAATTTTTCTACAACATTTCCAAATAAATTTTCTCAAATATTTCCGAACTATAGAATAAATAAAGTTGGGTCACACCAATGGTTTGTATTGTAGCACTTTTCCCTTCAACAAGTGAAAATTCTGCTTTTAAATACAGTCTATGTATACCTATCAAACTATTAAAATTATTTTCATTCATATACAAAACTATTTCTAGAATTGCATATATTTAGGATGACGCATATATGCAGTGTTTGAAATAAAGCAAAAATTAATATAAAAAGGGGTTAACATAATGCTCGATTTTAAGGGTTAATTGTGTGAGTTAAGAGAAATAATTATATTTTTTAATTTCATGGAATTTACCGTTAGCTTTTTGCGTTTATAAAAATTTGGAAAAGCTTGCGGTTTTGGAAATATAAGGTGTCAAAAATTCAAATTTTACAAATTTCAAGAGGTGATAACTTGAGAGGGGGTGGAGATGGAAAAAAATTTTCTTCTAACGAAATGAACTATTTGTTAATGTCTAAAAGCTCCTAAAATTTCAAGCTTCTACAGGCTGGGGTCTAGAAGAAAAATGACATCAAAAATTTGGCAAAAAAGGACTTTAGATAACGGTAAATTTGAACGGCCATTTTGTTTTTCTAAAGTTTAACTATAGTATAACGCGCTAGGGGAAGCAAGCCACTGCCTTTCTGCGTTTGCAAAATTTCAAAAATGCTTATGGTTTCATTGCAACAAATATTTAAAAAAGGCCATTTTTAGGGTTTTGGGGGGGTATAACTTCTAGAGGGGGGGAGATAGGTAAAAATTTTGTTCTACGGAAATAAGTTTCTAGTAAAGATCTATGTACGTATGAAATTTCAGCTTTCTATCTTAAAGGGTGTAGAAGTTTTGTAAACAAAAAAAGTGTCCAAGGACGGACGGACGGACGGACGGACGGACAGAGTGAAACTAATAAGCACTTTTTTCAAAAATTTTTTTGGAAAAGTGCTAAAAACATATGATTGTCAATAATTATTGCATTTTTACATCGGAATTTTTCATCGGTCGTTCTTTAGTTCATCGTTAAATCACTATTCTTCTTCCTTTTTTTGCACTGATATATCAAACTTTGAAAACCCTAATTATATTTTGAATTTGAATTACCCATTTGAAACAAATTTATTTGCTTGTTTATAATTCTTAGAATTTTTTACTGGAAACTATCATTTCAGCTGATTTCAATCCGCACGTGTAATATGTTATTAAGGGTTTTTACTCATTGATATATTAGTGCAAAAAATTGTTTTCCTTCAGCTTGTGAACAACCGAATGAAATTTTCGATGTATAATAATTGTAAAAAATTAACAAAAATACATATATGTATACATATGTATATGTATGATTTTTATTTTGTAGTTTGGAAATGTTTAAGAATTGCTTTTTTGTTATTCGTAAATTGACATTTAATAAAACGACACTCAACAATAAAATTCTGAAATATTTTTTAAAATAAATTAACATGTTTTTAAATATCATTTTTAAAATTTTGATCTACGAAAAAACATGATGGGCCTTCAGTGATTAATACAATTATTTTGAATAGAAACTTGATAAAGTATTGGAGATTGGAGTACATAAATATATACATATTCCTGTTAATATTGTAATTATCTGTATTTGTTGATCACTTTATCGCTTAGTGTTTGTACTACGAGTATTTCTTTAATATAAAAACATTTTAAAGCAATTTAAGTAAATGTTTTTTTGTTGTATGACGAAATCACGGTACAAAATTTTAATTAGAAATGTCATTTTTATATTGCTGTTATAAGATAACAATATTATAATGACGTTCGTATGTATATCCTTTTTGTCCTTTTAAAACTCATCAAAAAGTATTAATTTTCAATATTCATCAAAATCAAATCAAAAATTCTGTAAAAGTTTTATATACAAGATTTATATAAAAAGCGTATATAAATTAAGTTAAAGTAATTCCGTAACTTACCTATAATTTTTTTGTAGTATTCTATTTTCCTATATGCGTAAACTTGTAAATATTGCTCTTTTTCTATATTAATTAATTTAAATATTATTGTTTCATAAATTTAATAGTTATCCTTGTTTTGTTCTTATATCTTTTATCGTATTAATATTTCTGAACTCATATACAAAAAATGTAAGAAAAGTGCAGTTTATATAAATTTTTTTTCCTAATTAATTAAATATAAAATATTGGTTTTCTTTTCTTATTGAATTTTCAACAAAGCTAATTTCAATATTTCTTTTAAGAATTTTATTAAAATTTCGTTTGATGAATTTATTACTTTTGATTTTGTATGTGCTAAAAAATTGTGGTGGGCGGTTTGAAATAAGTATTCGTTTTTTCCAAAATTGTAGGTATGCACATATGTATGTGCTTTCTATTCTTTTTTTAATAGTTAATATTTATGCGTTAGGTCGATATCTTAGTTAGTATAGGCAGGAATCTAAAAGTTTTTTTGTACAAAAAACAAGTCTATAAATATTTAAACGTCTTTTATATAATACTTTATTGTAAAAAAAAAGAATTTTGATAAAAAAAAAGAGTCTAATGAACTGCTTTAAACGCGGTTTGCACCGATTTTTGTAGATTTTTTAGTTTAGATCAAATTACTTTTTATTTGTTTTTTTTTTTTTTTTAATCAAAACTTTTTGAGCTTGTGTGTATTATATTATATACCTTTTGTACTTTTAAATGAATTATCCTTTATGACAATTTTTTTTTGAAAAAAGCACACACTCTTTAACACTTGACAGTTTTGTTTTTTTATTATTCTTTTTAATATCACTTTTAAAATATAGAAGAATTCTTTCTTTCATTTACTCCCTAATCAATGCAGTTTTTGTGCGAAAAAAATTGTGCTACATGATAAATAAAAGATTTCTGCCTTTTTGTTAAAAATTTTTCAATATTTTATCAATTTTCAATAAAAGAATTTTGTTTTTACGAAAAATTATTTTCATTTATAATATTATTTTAATATGTTAATTTTTTTAATAAACAAACATAGAGGTTACTTAGTTATTGTAATAGAACAGTTTTCTGTTTTGGATTGAGTATTGAGTAGGTAACAAAACAGCAACCCATTTTAATAATAACTTGGTTAATTAAGAACAATTTTGATAATCACTTTATTTTGGAATGATAAAATTTTAATATATTTTCATATTTAAACTTTAATAATAAAATATAAAAAAGAAATAATTATTTTTTTTTACATATGTACATATATTCTGAATGTTTATTTTTTGTAGTGAAAAAATAAAAAAAAAAAATAAAAAACAAAACTTCAAATTATTGAATTTTTCAAAATTTATTTTATACCCGTAACAAATTTCTTTATATTTGAAATTCTCTCAGCTGACTGACCGACTGAGTTTTTCAATAAAAAATTGTACCTTTTTATGTAATTTTTTTTCTTCTATATTTCAATATTTAATTTTAACCCGGTATACAAAATTTTAATAAAAATCAATTCTATTTCGTCTATACACATGCTCCAAATTTATATAAGTATTGCTGTTGAGACAAAACAAATATGTAGTAATAACACTGTTATATTCAGAAAATTTTCATAATTTCTTATGAAAATAAATAATCAAAATCCCTTAATACAAATGCAGAACAGATGGATGACGTACCCAATACGACGAATTGAGGATGAAATATTAAAAAAAAATTTTCGAACTGAATTGAAACCAGTGACCTACCGTACAAAGGTACGAAGGAGTAGATATTGTCGGCAAATTGTTCTTCACATTGCTTTCTATAGTAATTGTCATAATTACCATGAATTGTTTACATGCGGTCAATTCAATTACCATTGAAACATCCAAAATTAAATTTTGGATGTTTAAATTTTGTTGCTTAATAAAATGAAATTTCTCTTAAAAGCACCATAAAATGAGAATCATAAAGAAAACTCAAAAATTTCACAAAAATAAAAAAATATTTCAATCGGCATACTTTGAAAACATAAAACATTAAAATTTCGTTGAATTACTTGGCGGCCTGATAGATATATATGGCATTATATATAGCTTTAAAATCTGGAAAACTTTTGAAAATTTTTTTAAATTTTTGTGTATGTAGTTAAATCAATTTTTGTAGAACTTTTGTAAATTTTTAAATAAAAATTTTGTTCAATATTTTATGATGTCAAAGGAAAAATTAAATAAACTTTTTACCTTAAATAAGAGTTTCATAATGTTTATATGCAAAGTAGTAATCTCTACTACAATTACTATAATAAGTAAAGTTAATTAGATGCACAATCATTTGACTTTTTACCGACCGTATTGTGTAAACAATAGGTAGGTTATGTGATGGCAACAAATTTTGCATATCGAGTTTTCGGTGGGAACGTACTTCTCCATAGTAGGGAAGTGTAAATAAACTATTTTTAGCAACCTGTCGGTCTGTCGTTCTGTCGGTCTGTCGGTCTGACGGTCTGTGTGTGCACGCGTGTATCTCAAGTTCGGCTGAACCGATTTTGATGAAATTTTATATGTAAGTTTGTTTCCACCATGGCACGGATCGATCAACTTTTGGTATATATCAGGCCTCGGGAACTGCACTTTTTAGCGGGCCGATTTTACATTTCTCACCATTTTGAAGAAAGTATTCAACCGATTTACTTGAAATTTCATATATAAGCTTTGCTCGATCATACGCAAAAATTCCTAACTTTTGGAAGAAATCAGGCATCAGCAACTGGGCGTTTACTACGGGCCAAATATACATTGTTGTGTATATAAAGAGAAATAATCAACCGATTTCATTGAAATTTAATACATGAATTCCTCGTATTAAAACAATGAACATGTAAATTTTTTGGAAAGATCAGGCATCGGCAACTAGACGTTTACTACGGGCCAAACATACACTTTTGTGTATATAAAGAGAAATAATCAACCGATTTCATTGAAATTTAATATATGAATTCCGAATATTAAACCAATGAACATATAACTTTTTTGGAAAGATCAGGGCTCGAGAACTGATTTGCGGGCCGATTTTACATTTTTCACCATATCCGCAGAACAAATTTATGGAATTTCTTGAAATTTGATATTTGAGTTCTGGTTGTTACCGAAACTAACTGGCGAGCATTTCAGGGAATTCGGGTAGCACAAAGCAAAACTCTACTAAGAGCCAAATTTACATTTTTCTAAGTATGTTAACTATAAGCTTACTAATGTCCTAAAAATTGGAACGAAGTATTTAACAGACATTTTTATAATATTCTGTAACACTTTCATTTAACTAGACAATACACAATGCGGTCGGTTATGTGCTGACCACATCAGATTTTTTTTTATGTATTATGTACTCGAACTCTGTTATCTACAGCTTTTAGTATAATACTTTTAGTACATATAAGAAAATGTTATACAGTACACAAATGAGAATAATGATTGGATATAGTACATTTTTCATGTATACAAAATCTTATTTTTCTTTACAAATTTAAAAACAAATCATATTTTTGAAGGTTAAATAATAATTCACAAAAATAACAATTTTAAGAAATATTTTTCTTAGAATGCAAATTTTTTTAAGTGATGTGTAATTTTCAATTTTATGTTGCTGCTTTTCCGTTTTTGAAGAATGATTTTGAATGAATTTGTATTCCATTTGCATTATATTTAATATGAGTTATACATACATGTGAATATATTATATGCATTATATATACATAATGTACTTACAATGAATAAATATGAAAAATTTCTAAACCTATATATAGATCTATAAAATGCACATGTACTTTATATAAAATTATAGATGTTTAAATTTATTGTTTTATTTATAAAAATTCTATGCGAATAGTTGTTGCGTATAAAATAAGTTTGTTTTTTTTTTTTTGTTGCATTTGGATTACAGTCAACAAACTATCTAAACATATTTACACTTGAACTTTTGTTTTATTTTCGTTTTCCTGATAATTATATTTATGTGATTTAAATCGTATTTTACCATCATTATATTTATAAAATACATTATGTTGATGTACATATTATGTACATATAATATAATATCAAAATTGTTTACAATTAAATTAAAAGAAAAAAGAATGAGATAACATTTTAAGCTTTAATTTCAGAGAGAGTTTTATTTTATGAAAGACTAACAAACGGCAAACGTAAATATATAATGTAGCTGTAGAAGATACGTATATTTTTGTCTATATATAAATTTATTGTAAAATAAGTAAGAGAATAATAATACTGTTGCGTGGTGTGGTGGTGTGGCATATCGTGAAATATATGGAGAGAAAATATAAAGCTTCTTATCGTTTCCACTTTTATTCTATGACATGCGTTAAGTTTTATCGTTTGTTGTTTATTGTTAATCATTTCAAAAATTCTGTTATACGTTTTAGAGTGACCATATAATATGTTTGTAAAAGAATTATAATATAAGATTTTCAGTTTAAGATTTTAATTAGTAGAAACATATTAAAATAGATTAATATTTAAAATTTTATGATACATAATATAATTGCATTATAAGTGTATAATTTTTCGTTATATAAATTATTTATTTGCAAACAAATTCCGAAAAATGAATTCTTGGTGTTTTTTTAATATTGTATTTGATTTCTTTTCTTTCTCTTTTGGACTCTTTTTGAAACTTGTTTCTCGATATGTTTCTAATCTTTATAGGAAGGAAGTTACCCTTCAGGAATTAACTAATCAATTTGCTGGTTTATTCGAAGGATTAAACTTGATTCGCTATTAGTTTATTTTGTAATAAAAATTATGTTCAAACGATTGATAAATTTGGTGCGTTGAATATTAACCTATTTTTCAATCTCAAAATTTCGATAACATCAGGCTGAAAAATTGCATACTACAAAAGAAGGAGTTGGTTTTATTTTATTATGTCCTAGACCAAATCCGAAAAAAACTATTTTGAGATATATATTAATATATGTATTTTGCATGAAGTTTGTCTGAATCTGCTTTCATCAAAAATTAATATCTGCGTTTCATTTATATCGCAATATACAATGCAGTCCGTTATATGCTGACCACATCAGTAGTTTTTTTGTGTATTGAAATATTGAAGATCTCAAAAAAATCATGTCAAATATCGACAGACTTTCAAGATACCGTTACATATTTTCTTAGAAATGGCCACATGTTGTATTTCATGTTGTTTCATAAGTATTTCATACATGATCTTTTCTATCTTAAAATTCTACTTTATATTTTTAACCTTATAATTTCTGATTTTTTTTATATCATAATCAAAAAATTTCGTATAGTGGTAGTGGAATAACTTAGTTTTAATGAGCAATAAAACCTTTTTTATTTTAAATATTAAAAAAGAAGTTGAGAATTTTAGCAATTTAAGTCATTTTATTAGGGTGATAGGTTAACACAAGTTATGTTTCTGTATCTTTTTGACTCAATTTTCGTGTGCTATATTTTAATGTTGATTTGAATTTTGAGAAGATGACATCTTTTAAAAATAATTTAGTTTATTTTATAATTATTTTAAAAACAATTTTTTGGTTATTGGCACAAATATTTTTATTCATAATTTTTGTTATTCCTGGAATTTGTTATTTTAAGGATAAGAACCAAAAAGAGTTTTTAATGTATTTTTATTTTTTTTAAATTTTTTATTAATCGGAAAATTTTTGAAGAATATATTTATTTTTTAAGGGTTTGTAGTCGCCTATTTTCTCAAGTAAGTACACTATTCGGAATTGATTTTGAAATTCGTGGTATTAAAAATATCCCTAAAGACAAGAGCTGTTTAATAATTGGGCCTCATCAGAGTATCATTGATGCAGCAGGTTTAACCGAAACAAATATTGTCAAAAATGTCTTATATATAATATAATTGTAGTTTTAATTTTTAGGTTTATACAAGGCATTTCCGTTGTTTTGGAAAACTGTAGTTGTAGTTAAAAAGGAATTAAAAGAAATACCGGTTTTGGGTTATTTTCTTTCTTTAATAGAATGTTTTATATTTATCAATCGTCAAGATCGAAATGAAACTATTGAAACTTATCGTAGCGTACTAAATAGTAACAAAGATCAAGTTGTACATTTTGCTGTATTTATCGAAGGTACTAGAAATTTAAAACGAAAATTACTTCCATTCAAAAGAGCACCTTTCAAATTAGCCTTGGAATATAGATTACCTATATTAATGATCGCAAACTCACAGTATGAATGGTACCGAAAGGATAAACCTAAAACAACAATCAATGCTTTAACTAAAATTTTGCCTGCAATGCCAATTGAAAACTTCAATGAAGAGAATATTCATGAATTGATTCAATACTGCCAGGATACATTACAGATGGAATGTGATAAGTTAAATAAAGAAATTGATGAAAGAGATCAGGTCCAGTAAAATTGATTGAATCGTATACTGGTTTTAATAAATAGTTTTATTTAATATTATATTTCTGGTTATTTCTAAATTCTAAATTTATTTGATCGTATTCCTTCTGCAATTTGTTTTGACACATTTCTATTAATTCATTAACATTTTCCTTTTCATAGTCTTTAGTTGAAATTTCTGGAAGTATATTAATAACAGCTTTGCTTTCTCTAAAATCTTTATGTAACCAGTCGTAATGGGTTACAATTATTGGCTGAATCGGACAACTACATTGTATTGCCATATAAAAAGGTCCTTTTTTAAATGGTAATAAAGTTTCTTCACTATTGCATGTTCCTTCCGGGAATACTAATATTTTACAGTTCTTCTCATTTATTGCTTTAGATTCTGTATTGAGTGTATTAATTGATTGGGATCTATTTTTTCGATCGATAAATAAAAAGCCACTCTTCCATAAGCCAATGCCAAAAAATGGGACATATAGAAGTTGTTTTTTTGCCACAGCAGTTATGTTGTCAATTACAGGCCAAATATACGAAATTGCTATAAATGTAAATAACGGTATTTTAATAATAATTAATACTTTTTTTGTGCACAAAAATATAATATCACCTACCTAAAACATCGAAATAACTTTGATGATTCATGATCAAAACATTCCCATGACTTTGCTGTAGGTTTTCACGACCTTTGATTTCCATTGTAATACCAAGAAATATTCTACAAAAATGTACACACAACCAGGATGCCATTCTGTAGAAAAACAAATTTTATATGTTTAAATGAGTGTTTAAATATGCATTTAACTTTGCCAGAAAAATGTATTAGGAGAAACAAAAAGCGAAATATGCAATATTAATTTCAAAAAACTATACCACAAAAAATGCATACTTTTAGGATAAGGCAAATTTTTAGAATTTTTTTGATCGTTAGTTAGATTCTTGTGTTCTTAGTATATTTAATTTGTTTCGCGGTTTAATTTGCAATATTTTCAGTATCCAAATTGTGTGGTTAGTAAATACGAAGATGTAAAAAAGTTAATTTTGCTAAAATTTTTGATATATTTTAAAAATATTGTGTAGTTTTGGTGCAAAACCTGCTACTAGTATCTTATACCGAATGTCCATATTTTTTTTTTTTTTGTTAAATTTTAAATAGCTCTTTGCGTTCTTAAATGAATGCTTCAACAACTCACCGACAAACAGACATAACTAAATCGACTTACAATTTCATTATTATTAAGACACATTAGACTTAAAGTGAAGCAAGGTAAAAAAAATATTGTTCCATATTTAGAAAGTTCAAAAACCATTCTTTGGTTGTTTAATTTTATTAAATATTTAAATGAAATTGAATTTTATTTACTAATATTGTTTGCTATACCTAACATATATTGAAACTGAATTAAGTACATAAAGAAATTTTTAATTTTTAATTCTTAACATTTACTTTATCGAACATATTATACGTACATATTTTAATAACTACATGCACTTATAGGTTTTCTAAAAATTTTCAAGTTCATGATTCATCGACACAAACAAGCAAAAAAGTAAATTTACCTAATTGGGGGAAGAGTCAATATTATAATAAGTTAGATTCTAACAATGTACACATATATTTAAATATATGTGTAATTTATGTATTAAAAATTTTTGGGTACTGCTATTATTCTGCACGCTGTTTTATATATTTATTCATCATACTTACAAACAGTTTTTATTACTCCTTTTTTTACATATAACAAAAGGTAAGCAGCATATTGATATACAAATTAAAGCTAACAAATAAATGAACATTTTAATACAGCGTGGAGCGCTCGGTAATATTTTTGGAGATAAAAAAATGCAAAATGCCAAAATAGAAAACACCCACGGATTAAAAATAGTCATTGCTGCGATAATTTTTTTTTAATTTAATAACTTTTTTAATAAAATCTTATCTATTTTTAGATTAATTTCTTTTATTTTCATAAGAATATATATTGCATTATAAATATTATAATTATAGTTCACTAATAAATTGATAAACTTTAAAATAATAACGATAAAAAAGTAATATTGTATGGACAGAAGAAATGCAAAAATTCGCGAGAACAGATTCGCGGCTGATCGTATACTGAAATTTTTTTGCAAATGCGAAATAAAAAAGAGAGAACAATTTTTAATTACACTTTATGCACATGAGTTTATTATATATGGATATATATAGGCATGTATATTGTTTTAAAATATTTTAGTATATGTATGCTTTTAAATATGTTGTATTTTTATGTATTTAATTAAAAAAGAATTAAGGTAATTTGTAAATAATTGAAGTACGTGTATGTATAAAGATAATGTTTATGTATATGCAATTAGTCTTTTCTCATTTATAAGTTCAATACGTATGTATTTTGTATATTGACTTGTGGATTATGCATTTTGGAGTGTATGGTAATCATACACATGATATGAAAAATTCTAAATAAAGAGAGGATTTAATTAATTTTCAATTTAATTTATGAGATAACAGGGAAAAAATTAAAATTTTATAATCAATTGGCATATTTTATTATCAATAAAAGGCTTCTATCTTCATCTATATAATATGCTAAAAAAGTTTCTCTGCACAGTCAATTGCATTTTAAGTATATGATTGTATATTTAACGGTTATCATACTGTTTACAATGTATGCATCGTTTACCATATCGTTTACAATAAATCTTATAAACTGATCGATTGATTTATGTCACTAATGTATAACGAAATAATAAACAATAACATGATTATTTATATGCTAGATTTCGTGACTTCTAGTTTTAGTTATACCGTATTTAAAAATGAAAGAATATTATGTACCTAACGTATAGAAATATCGCATATGATAACAGAAAGCCGAATAAATTAAAATTTTGAATTGGATTAATTTATAAAATTTGAGCGACATCTATTGTAAATTATAATGAAAGTTGAGTGAAAATCATACTTGTGTTAAAAGATTCACAAAAATATGTTTTGTTTTTCTTCCAAATCTAATTAAGTGAAAGTTTATTTTATTTAGGTAATATAAAAGCATTTAGTTAAGCTTTTGGTTTGTATACATAGTCATGTAACTATGTATATATGGAAAAAAAAAATGTGATATGAGAATCATAAAGTCACGAGGATAATTCTAAAGTGCGCAAGTTCGATTTTCTTTTGATTGTATTTAAATTTTAATGTTTACCACAAAGCATTTAATATTCGTTATAGTTTCCTTCAGACAACATACATACATACATATTATATTACAACGATTTGTCATATATGAATAACTTACATTGGTTACTGTTAATACAAACTTTTAATTCCAGCTGTTCTGCACAATTCATTTTAACCTCAAGTGATCTGGGTTTTTTTTACAAAATCTATTTTTTGCATATTGTTAGAAATTAAAAATATTTAATTGGTTGAGTAAAGATTTATATAAATTTTCTCGTTTATTTATTCAAAATCAAAATTTATAAAGTTTTTTCAACAAAAAGTGATGGACCAAAAAATTTATCAAAATTTATTTCAATGCTAGAATAAAACTTTACATATAGAAATATAATTTACATAGACATTTACAAGAAATCTAACTTCAATAAGAAAGATCATCGATAATAAAATTAAGGCAAGGAGACATTTTCGCATTTTTTAAGACGTTTTATACATGATGTGATGGGATATTATCCAAACAAATTTTAGTTTGTTTGAGGTTACATAATTAAATTACAAACATTATGCGATGGCATTATAGAAAAGTAATATGATTAAGTTAATCACGCTTAATACTGTGAACTAAAAAGTAAAAAGTAATTTTTAGTAATGCTTAGCAGAAATAAACAAAGATTTGAGGGGAAAACAAGCGTTGTAAAATACAGATGTTTGCAGTTCAACGAGTGGTGAGAAATTTTATGTTTAAACATATGAATGTGGCTAAAGCTGTTCTCATAATGGAAAAGAATTTTTTCGATAACGCAGTTCTTAACATCAGAACTGAAAAACCTTGAAATCTTTGTAATACAAAAAGGTCTTATATGTTTGAGAAGTAAATAAGTAAAAATAATTGGACCAATAACTTGTTCAATTTTGTTAACCGATTTTAGTATTTAAAAATGTACTTGATAAAATTCTTGTATGTGTGCGATTAAATTAATTCGAAAAAATGTCTAAATCTTTTTAAAAAAAAGCTTTTATCCTTTATGGCTGTATAGTTGAAATAACCAAATTTCAATAGAAAATATTTACAAAACTTTTAAAAATCTTTCAGTCAATTTAAAACTTCTTTGTCACTTAGAAGCAAAGAAGTTTTTGTCTTTTGTGCTATTGTTTTTGTACAGAAATGCAAAAATATCATTTATTAAAAAAACAAAAAACATTACAATATTTTTTATTTTAATTTTATTTTGTTAAGTAACTGTGTCCATCCAACAAAATAGCGCGATTCGATTATGTTTTAATAAGGACTTTAAATCAAAATTATTAGATATTGTGATTTTTTTCGAAATAACAAATATTCAAAAAGAACAAGAAACTAATAGAGTTAAGATTCGAAGGATTAAATCGATTTTGAAAGTGAATTTTATCAAAAAATCATAGCTATAGTAAAGTAAATTAAAATATATTAGGTTCTTAATTTGGATATTAAAAAAAAAAATTAAAACACCTATTAAAAGGAAGGTGCATATTCAATGTAAATAAAGAATTAAAAGCGCATTGCGCAAAAAAAAATTTTCTGTTGTTAATATTTAAGGATATACAAGTAGAGTAAAAAAAAAACAAATTTGCATACAATATTACAGAAACCTAAGAAAACAAACAAGGTTATGGGAGTATAACAATTAAATAGAGAATTCTCGGGTGTCTTCATTCGACTTAAATTGCTTAATTAAGATACGTCCTTGCGAATTTTTTGAAAATTAATATGACAGTTTAAAATAAAGTCTACCTTAACATCGTTTTTTCTATCGGTCGATAGATGCAGCAATGTACATGCTTTTAATTTCTGCGAAAAGATTTCTTAGAAAGTCATGAATTCAATCAATATATTGAAATATGGCAGTAGGATCATATTAAGTCGATTAAAATTAACATTGAAGAAAATTATTTTTACCGACCTCTCTGTAACCACAGAACTCTCTGTAACCACAGAACGACCTCTCTGCAACCACTATAATTATTATGATAATTAGTATATGTTTTACTAGGTATATTTCTTGTGTGACTTCAAGTTATTCTTTTAAGTTAGTATATAAAAATTAATTTAGAATAATTTTAACAGAATTGTATTAAAAATTAAAATATAATTTTTTGCGTAAAGTAAAACTATTATTATGGTTATTGTATACGTATATAAAATACATATAAATATGTATGTATTCTTTACGTCGTAAACATTTTTTTCTCTTTGCTTTCATTTCATTTTTGCAACAAAATGGGATATGAAAACAAGGATCTACTTAATAGAATCACACTTAAAGGGCTAAGGTCGGCATAAAAGCAGGAAAAGAAAGTTTTTTTTTACATTTTTACTCTTTGCGTATATTCTTATAAACACTATCTAAGTTCACATGAATAACAACATCTAAACATTAACGAATGTACAGTAAATGAAAAAAAATACAATTTTATATTTTATAATTTTTTCTTTCTATTTTCTGTCACAGTCTGTCTCCAAGGACATGTGCGGCATCAGAATTATATAGAGCAAACGAAGAATAATAAATAAACAAAGAACAATAATAACAATGATAATATACAATTAAACTAAAAAGAAAAAAAAATAAAATTAATAAAATACAAAATAATAAAAAATTATATTCTATCAGCAACAATAATAAAAAAAGTTATTAATTTATTTATATAAAATAATAAGCATTAAAAATTCATAAGCAATAAATCGGTTTTACCTATAACCTAAAACGTTTAATACATTCGTGCCAATAGAGAGAGATAATTCGTTTTTAAAATTTTTAAGGTAACTTCAAAAATATTTTGTTAATAATTGCGTGTGTTGAAATATTCTATTATTGATTTATACTTAAGATTAATATGTTGTTAACTCTATTAAAATTCGGAGCAGATTTAAATTCTTATACTCAAATTTCAAATACAAAGAGATAGATTTTTATTGTTTGTTTCATTTCATTTTACTTTTGTTCAATTTTGTGTGGTGTTATGCCATATTATAATTTTTTTATAGAACTTCTGGTCATAATTGTCAAAAAGTCTTTAAAATGTCCGAACTCTTGAAGGTCCCACCATAGTTTTTTGGAGCTCCTGCCTAAAAAAGGTATTTGGCTTTAAATGGATTGTAATATCTTCCCTTTTCCTTATCAACTACATGAATTTTTATTTGAAAGACATTGGGATATCAAGCGAATGTTTGGATTTTATCTGGGTCAACAGATGGTTATCAAGTGATATCCCAGCCAGTTCTATTTCTTTGGATATTTTTTTTTTGAATTTTAATATTTATAAGTTTTCTTTTATAAAGAATTCTGATAAGGACTAACTAATATTAAAGGGGTCTCTGCTCTGCAGTTTGACGCCTCGTAAAATGCGTTGGTCTACTATCCTACAAAGGCGGATCACTTCTTCTTGCCACAGTATTAGTCTGTGTATTCAACGTTACCAGCCTTTGTACTTCCGTACCTATGTACAATATTAGCCTTTTGCAAAAAACAAAAACGCAAGGCTTTTTTTTGAAAAAAAGCAAGAAAATTTGCAATTAGATTTAATTTTTTTACAACGTCAGACAACAAGATTATATTTAAAATTTTCAAAACTTATCTTGATTTTTTTCAGGAGATTTTTCTCATTGTAACAATCTAATCAATAAAAATAAACAGTTTTAATTTTTCACACTGATATTGTTAAGACAAAGAATAGTTAATAAAAGTGGCAAGTACGTCGATAAACTAATAACCTAAAATCAGAAACAAAGTTGGTTAGCTCAGTTAAAATAGTTATAGAACTTAAAAACGTAAACTCTAGTTTATTGGTTAAGGTAAATTCTCGTAATTAATAATTTACAAATAAAAGAAAAAATAAACTTTAAATTAGTAAATTAAAAGCAAAGTTGTAGGGTTTTAAGCTCCTGTAATACGATAAATCCAACTGCGTATCCATGAGTTAGATATTAATGTATAAACCCCAGGAAAAGTGTATCTAGCACAACCTAATCCCCACGAAATAATGCCATATTGAATATTATCGATTATTGCCGGTCCGCCAGCATCACCTTGGCATGCATCTTTTTCTTCAGCATATGCACAAAACATATTATCAGTAACATATTGCTCACCATAAGAACGGCGACATTCTTCTATTGTTACTACTGGAATTTCAATCATTAACAGTTCAGAATTATAATCATTGCCTTCATTAATTTTTCCATATCCATAAACTTTAATTAGTGATGCATTTTTTGGATAATCACCAACTTCTGGTAATTTGATATATTCAACTTCTACAGGTCTACTTAGTTTTATTAATCCAACATCATCAAAATATGATTTAACGTAAGGATCATCATAGATGCGTGTCTCTGAAACGTCAACGAACATACCACCCTTATTTGAATATTTGGAACCAATACGAACTTTTATTTCAGATGCAGGCATATGGTATAAACAGTGAGCTGCCGTTAGCACCCATTCTGCTGATATAACTGTACCACCACAATATTGTATTCCATTCCAATCAAGTGATGCCATAAATGAAAGTTCGGAAAATCCTTCAATTTTATATGAAAAATATAAAATTAAAAATATTGTTTTTAAAATTGTCGCACACATTTTCCGATTTTAAATTATTCCGATAATTTTTATATCTCTATAATGTTAGGTTTTCGATATTAAACTGAATTTGCTGTTTAAAAAAAAAACAGCTTTGTTTGCGTTCTTTTGAAACATTTGTTAGATTAAGTAGGTTTTTTTATTTTATATGTGTGTTTTAGATTTCAATTATAATTATTCATTTAAAGTAAACATTTGGTTCTATGTGTATAATTTATAGACAAGAAATTTTGGAATGAATTGTTAACACTAGTTAATTAATACCTGGATTTAGGCAGATGAGTGAAATATTATGGAAAAAATTAGATTTAAATAAGTCATAAGATTTTGAGTCTAAATTTTGCGATTCACTGAAGTATTAATTGTTGTTATACGGAATTATAAATCAGGGTATTGAATATTTTTTAAGATATTTGAATGTGTTTTTACCATAATTATGTTCAGGTTCAAATTTTTTAAAATAGCTATTAGTTTTGGAAAAAAACAAAAATTACACTGTTTCAGTAATAAAAATTACTTAATTTTTGTTTGCGATTACAATTTAGGAATTTTAAGAATTATAAGCACATATTTATATCAAAATTGCAAAATAATTTCCTTGTTTATTTAAAATAGTTTTTTTTAAAGCCTAATTTTCAACAATTTTAATAACTTTATGTATAGTAATAGACTTAGCAATTTAAAAAGAAATTACAGCTACAATCTTATGGCAATTTGCGATCAAATATTTTAAAATAATTTTAAATGAATTTTATGTTTAATATTGGGCAAAATTTTTAAATTAAAATAATACTGTGTACATACCCTTATAAATACACTTTTATATACATATTATGTGTGCGTGTGTACATAAGTGCATAAATAATTGGTGAGTCTAGTAAATTTAATAATGTTTAAATCATTATTTTCTTAATAATATTGCTATGTATATAGCAGTAATCATTTAGTTATAATGAAAAGCTCTTGAATTAACAGTTACACTGGCATACAGCGTTTAAACTTTTTCCAAACTGAAATAATTTGTCTATTGTTTTACAAAACACAATTTTAACAACTAAATGTTAACTCTCATACAAAATTATTGGACCTCCAATATGCTTTTATTTAAGTTGCGTAAACTTTCAGAAGTTGACAAACTTTCAGCTGACTTAACTATATTATAGCTTTTAGATTAGAACATTACCAATGTCCCATTACACTTTTTAGTGATCACAATGGATTATGGGCGGTTATGTGATCACCATATCCATTTACCGGTTCAATTACTTCCGGTAGCAAACTCAACTCACATATTCAACTTCAACAAGTTCTATCAATTAGATCCGATCACCATTTTTCACCATAAGGAACTAATTGACAGAATTTATTGAAGTTGAATATGTGAGTTGAGTTTGTTACCGGAATTAATTGACAAACTTTTCAGGGAGTTCGGATGACATAAAGTGAAATTCTACTAAGAGCCAAATTCATACTTTTCTAATTATATTAACTCAAAGCTTACAAATGCCCTCAAAATTTGAAAGGAGTATTTAAAAAGCATTTTCATAATTTTTACTAGACTACTAGACAAAGTATCTTGCAGACCAAATAAGATTTTTTTCTTCTGAGATTGTTCACTTTTATGAGAGTGTTCACTTTCTTGTACTTATTTTTCGATTTACTTAAAAAGCAAAAAAATTAGTATTCATCATAAAAAGTATAAAGATTAGTTAAGAAAGCACTAAATAACAAAGTGATAATAGCAGTAGAATTATTATTTTCTGACTGAACAAATGAGATATGTTAATTTCATATATTACATAAATTTAAAATTAATTTAGAAATAGTGTAGGTAAACACTATTTATATTCATAGCAGTATAGTACAAGTACAATATTCATATTTAAAAAACAGAGTAAATATTTTCCTTTTAAAAAAAACCCTCACAATTTGTACATTAATCACATACATAATTAGGAATTCGGATTTCAAATTCATCTGCACTTTACATAAAAATTCAATTTCACAAAATCTATTTGTTTGGATAAATATTGTGATATATAAATACATGCATGAAAAATAAAAAATTAAGTGGTCGACCAAAATCATAGTTTATCAAAAGCCACATTTTACTGTGACATTTTAAGTTTAAATTTCCTATTTACAGTCGATCCTATTTAATATTTACTTTGCATATAGTAGCAGACCTCGGTTATATTCACAATAATTTTAACAAGAAAAGACCCCATCATTCACTTTTAGATGCTTGTACTCGTGTAATAGAAAAATCACCTTACAGAGAAGTTTTTTAAAATCACAAAACTTCGATATACATAAATAAATTTCCTATTTCATTTAAAAACGGCCGCTTAAAATCACATAATTTAAATTTAACGAAACGGGAGAAATAAACTATCGAATATAAACGCATATTCTTTTAGAATATACTCTTTACAATTTTGGTGTCGTGTCGTCAATTACAATTTATTATTGTCTGTTACTGTTTTTCTATACATTGAACGCTTGTATTTCCGCAAAAAAATGTAAAACCAAATAATGCGCTATTCTTTATTTAAGGCCCTGCAATAGCCTTTGTATAAATAAAAAGGTGTTTTTGAAGCTTTTATAATTTTTGGAACAGAAGTTATAAGCAAGAAAAGTATGGTATGATAAAATTTTTTTATTTCTTGGGAAAATGTTTATGGGATTAAAGAAGGGTATTGTGATTTTATTATCGAAATTATTTTGTTTATTTTTGACACAGCAATTCAAACTTACTAAAAATGTCAATATTATCTTAATTTTTTTTTTTCATATACATTGGTTCTCGGATATAAAAAATTCGCAATATACACTTTTTCGTTCTTGTCTAAGAGAAAGAAGTTATTCATATATAGTTCTAATTCGAAACTTTAAAAGACAAAAATTTCATTAAAATCGGGATGTCTGAGAACCCTAATTAGCATAAAGACTGAATTAGATTTCCAATTACCATTTCCAATTACCAGAATTCCAGTACAGTAGTGCGTTAAACCATTTGTTAAAGAAAATGAGGTATAAATTTTTAATATATTGTTATAAAACTAAAACCCTTATTGAAATTAAACATATTATTAAAATTAACTCTCAATTTAGATTAAATCTTAATCTAAATTGAACTTATGTAATCGTGTACTGGTATAAATGTTCATATTATAAAAATAATAAAAATCTACAATTTTTCTATTTTCAGCAATGATAACTTTATCAACTTTAATTACATGGATTATATTTGCAATCATAATTATAATGCTTTTGCCAAAGGCACCAACTCCAATTAAGATGTTTATATTTGTAATAGGGGTGGGTGCAATAGCTATGTTTTTTTTACCTTATCTTATATTTCGTCCTCGAGATTACAGGAACTGTTTGTAAGTATAATAAAAAAAAACAAAATTATATTTTGAATCCAAATATAATTCAATTTTTATATTCTATCATAAAGGGGTCCAACATGGGTTTGCAAACATTTTAGCCGACTTTTAGGAATAACTATGGAAGTACGTGGTTTGGAAAATATTAGAAGAAATCATGGTAGTGTTGTGATAATGAACCATCAAAGCGCCTTAGATCTCACTGGTAAATATTAACTTAATTGCCAAGGGTTTATCATATTTTTAATTTAAAGCAATATCCCTGCGTTAAAATTTTAAAATAAATGATTATAGAGATGAACCAAATGAATATAATTGGTTTGTGTTTATAATAATTTATTTTTTGCATTATTTTGAACTAGCTTCCAGCAATGATTTTTTTTGTATATTTTAGCAATAGCTCACATATGGCCTTTAATAGGAAATATAACAACGATAGCTAAAAAGGAATTACTTTATATACCATTTTTTGGTTTAGGATTATGGTTATCTGGTTTTTTATTTATAGATCGTAAAAATCGTAATCAGTCAATTAATATTATGAATCAAGAATCAAAAGCAATACATGAACGTCAATGTAAAATTTTAATATTTCCGGAGGGAACACGTAATTCAAATGAAATTTTATTACCATTTAAAAAAGGTGCATTTTATATGGCAGTACAAAGTCAATGTCCAATTCAACCGATTGTTGTTACACATTTTACATGGTTATATCAAAAATCATGGCGTATTAATCATGCAATCATTCATATAATGCCAGAAATTTCAACTGAAAATTATTCTAAAGAAAATGTTAACGATTTATTACAATTATGCCAGAAAACTATGCAAGATGAATATGATAAATTAAATTCTGAAATAAAACAAATGAATATGATTGAAAATAATAAATATTTTGATGATGCAAAAAATAAATAAATATTTAAAATATTAAAAAAAAATCAATTTATACAACCAAAAAAGAACAAACAAGCGATATGTACAATAAATTATAGTAATTACAGTAAACTTTATAATATATACAGAAATTAAATAAACTAGGGAAAAATTGTAGAAGCTATGTATAGAAATCAATAGATAGCTAATTTATATATGCATATGTATGTAGATATATGAGCCATATATGTACATGTTTTATTTTTCGAATATAGTTTAAGATACAAGAACAAAAAACAAGTTTATTGTAAATAAATAAAGTCTCAATTAAAATTGATATTTAAGATAAAATAATTTTAAATTAGTGTTTTTTAAATTTAATAGATAAGATGAGAGATTATACTGTGATGGATATTACAAAAGTTATCTATTTTTATAATCCAATTTATTGGCTGAGTACCTTAACTATATTCATTTAAAATTTGAAAATTCTATAAATGCTATTTGTTATATATTATACATGAGTATGCACATTTTGAAAAATGATAAATTTGTATGAATTGCATTTAGTAGCGGATCTACAGCTTTAAATTATTACTTAATAAGTACACCAAATTATTGCTTATCACACCAAATTATCATTTCAAGATAGGCATCATAGTATCAATAATGTTTACTTTTGCCGATTCCGAAATTGCATACAAAATTTATATACTTACTAGTTTGATTTATACCTATTTTTATCTAAATTTGTTGATATTTTTTTGGAATTTTCATGAAATAGAATAAATTAGAAATTTTATCAAAACTTTTATAATTCGGTTGAATTAAAATAAAGGAAATATATTTGTACTTACTTTTTTTTCATAAATTTTTATTTCCAAATATAAATTGTGTATATATTTGTATAACTTATTTAATACATTTTCTTTTTGTCTTATTTTTGTTTTTTTTTTTACAAATTATTTAATATATTTACTAAAAGAATAATTATTCCATTAATTTGAAAATGATTAATAAAGGTTCACTTTTCTTAAACATATATTTTACAAAGAAAATATTTTCTTCAAATGAACTTATTAATATTTTAGTTTTTTTTTCTGTTTTTTTTATATTATAAATTAATACATATACTAAGGGTGTATTATATACGAATATATTAAATTTATATTATATATAAGGTATGCTACTTAAGGAGGTTTAGCCTACAGAATTTCAAGTAAATAAGGCAAAATCAGAAAGGGGATTATTTTTTTTTAACTAACATTCCTTTTTTGATGTTTAGGCTAAGGACCGATAGTTTAAACAATCGTCGAATATACATTTAACTAATTTAAAATAATTTTTTGTTTTAGAAAATTTCTGCTATACAATCTTGTAAGCTTAGCAACCTTCATGGCATCCTTTATGATTATACAACTAAAATTAAGTAACAAACATAAAAAAAAATGATAAAATGAAACAAAATAAAAAATAAATTTAATGCCTAAATTTAAATAAATTATTTTACTTACAAGAGAAGAGTATTATAAAACAAAATAATAATAAAATAAAAAAGAATATTTTAGCGTTTCCTTTACATTATACATATATATAATAATAAACTACTTAATCTGTAAACTAAATTTTTATGTAACAAAAATCTGTTTAATTTAGCTAAAGAATGTTATAGATTTCGAGTAATATCAGTTTTTAATTATAATGGCTAAATTAAAAATTCAATTGTAAAAGAATCTGAAGTTAAATATTATTTCATATTACATAAGAATCTAATAACAAAATTAATAAATTATGAAAAGTTCTTATTTACATAATATTTTTCTTGACATTATATTCACAAAACAAAATGATACCTATTTGATACGGCCAGAATTACATATACTTACATATATAAATAATTTTAAAGCACAAAATAACTGTGTTCGCTGCATTAACAAAATTTTCATTTTGAGAGTTGATATTGATTGAAATTCAAATTAAAAAGAAGTATAGAAGTGTTTGTTCGGATATTCCAAATAAAAAATTGGTAGGTCGGGAAATTCCTTTTAACTTATTTTTTTTAAATTCTAATGAAAACAGCACTTAGTAAACACTATTGAATATTGAAGAAAGTGTTTAAAAATAATAGATTGTTTGGCTTTCAAAAGAATTTACGGCAAGTCTCTATTCACTAGAAATGGGATTTTGATTTTTTTTTTGTTTTAGATATTCTAAAACTTAATTTTTTCCTTACATTATACATTTAATTATTATTCTGTAATTTGTTTTTATAGAATACCATCTAAAACATGAATTACACCATTTGTTGCTGGTATATTTTGTGCTATCATTGAAGCTTCATTTACTTTTATTCGGCCAGCATTTGTTTTCTGTAAAGTTATTGTTTTACCCTCTAAAAGTGAATCTTTAACTTGGTAGAATCTCATGCCAGCTGAGAATAATGTTGTTGGCATTATATGTTTCATGGCAAATGACTCTGCTAAATCTTTTTCAGTTAATAATTTTTGTAGGTCTTCTGTTTCGAGTTCATTGAATGCCTTATCAGTTGGAGCGAATACAGTATAAGTTTTAGTTCCTAAAAAATAATTTGTTTATTTGTAAGATATATGTAGGTAATTGGTTTTCTTTTATTTAAAGTAAACTCTGACCTTTGTTTTGAAGAATTTCTGACATTCCAGATGTGTATAGAATCTTTAAGAAATTTGTAAATCGATTTTCACGATCTGATTGCAATGTTTGTAGTAAATCACCAACTGGTAAGGGAAACATTACCCGATCTACACCATGTGCTATTCCTTGTGGTATTTTTATGTCTTTCTTTTCATTTACAATCATAGCTCCATTGATTGTGGTAATCTATTGAAAATATAAGAGTTTAAGAAATAGTTAATTGTAAATTGGGAAATTGTATTAGTAATAAAAGACTAAAGTACTGCAAAAATGTTAAAATATTTTTATTTGTCCATGCGCCATCTTTCTATCAATAGAAAAAGTATAAGATTTGTATTGTTGATGTTGAAAAACGTCCAACAAACAAATTAACAAAAAAAAAAACTAAAATGAAAGCAGAGCGAAAAGCTTTGGAAAAAAATTATTTGTTTGTAAGTTGTTGCTTTTTTGAAGCACTACGATTTTATCTTTCTTTTGCAACTACATTCGGTTCTCGCTATTCCTGTACATATTTCTATTGTTATTTATTGATTTGCATCATAGTAAATGTTTAGATAACAAATTTTGACTTCATTTGGGATAAAAATTTGTTGTAATTTTTTGAGTTTATTATATTATCAAAAAAATTTGCTTACTAAAACGTCATTCCATTCCTGGTCATGCATTGTGTATTGATTGACCCTTAATTGTGTTCCAGCCAAAGAAACTCCTGTCATTTCATCTTGTAGCGATGATACCTCAAAAGCACCAGGAATAACATGATGCAATAGAAGCTGTCATGGAAAATTTAAAATGAAAAAAATGAATTTAATTATGTTTTATTCCACTACTGAATCTTACCCCGCTTAATAATCTTGGATTTGATTTGAATTTCTCTTCGGCTCTTTCAGGTCCACCAAGTTGAATCAAAAGATTTTTGAACGCTTTATCAGTTGGTACAAAAACTGTATATGGTCCTGTTTCATTTAGAATACTATCAAGACCAGACTGCTTTAGGTATTTAGACATTGCATAAAGTCCGTTTTGTCTTAGAATTTGTACTAAATCTTCTCCAGGATTTGATGTCTGTTGTTCAAATTGTTTTTCAGTTGTCGCCGTTAATTTTTCTGTAACAGGCTTATGAGTTGAACTAGTATATATTTCGTTATGTGTTGTTCGAGATGGAAGTGTTGTTGAACGATATGTTGCAGTATGACCTTGACTTGATCTATTAATCAATGGGACAACTGTAGAATATGGTGAAGCAGTACTGCTGGGGAATGTTACTCTTGGCGTATATGTCGATGTTGGTAACGGAGGTGACGCTGTTGTTGTTGTTGTTGTTGTAGTAGTAGTGGAAGAAATCGTTGATTGTTCTAGAACTTCGTCCTCTGATGGTAAATGCAATCTCTTCACGGTTGGCGGAAGTTTGATTTCACCGCTCTTAATTCTTTCTAATATGCTTTCGACTTCGCTTCCAGTTGTTTTTGTATCTTTTTCGCCATTAGCCTTTACTCCTTGAATTTTGAAGCTGCCGTCAGGTTGTTCTTCTAAATAAACATATGTTGCTTTCTTTTTAGTAGGTGGTGGTTGTGTTGGTTTTGGTTTCGAACTACTACTTGAAAGACCTTGAATCTCATAACCTTCCGGAATCAGTCCACGTTTTGCAAGTTCTTCTAAAGATGGTGGTTCATCTGAATCAGATGTGATAACAGCCGAACTTGCTAAACTGTTAGTGTCATCAGACCCAACGGCTGCCCCTCCGTATAAGTTAGCAAGTTGCGATAAATCAAAACCTCCAGAACTGGGAGAGCTTTGTCTAATAATCTCGACTTTCTTGCCATCTGGAAGAACCAAGTCTTGAGAAACCTTAGGTGCCACTTTGTGTAGATCGGCTGGGAAATTGTATTGAGATTTCTTAGAAGTTGTAACCAATTTTTGTTGAGCTTGTTGCTTCTGTTTTAAATTTTGTTCATTTAGCTCTTGTTGTGTAATAACCGACTGTAATTGGTCCTTTGGTATTAAATTCGGGTTATTAGTACGGATTACTTGAACTCGTTGTCCATTTGGTAAAACTAAATCGGTTTCTTCATAAGTTTTATTAGCCGGTTGACTTTGAGAAGATTCGGCGAGAGCTGCTTTAAGCTGTTTAAGTAATTCGTCACGTCCTAATGGCTTACCAGCTTTAGTTTTTGATAATTTCGATTTGTCAGTTTCAAGTTTCAATTGACTATAAATGTCTTTCCGTTGTGCTTGCAGTAATATTTCATATGGATCTTGGTCAGAAGTTTTAATTTTTTCTGAAGTTGTAGTTGTTGTTGGAGTGGTAGGGTGTTCTTCATTATATTTTTTTACTGCTAAATTAAATAATTCAGATTCAGATGGATGAATTATTGGACGACCTCTTGAGGTGGGTGTTGTTAAATCAAAGAATGATTCTTTAATTGTACTAGTTCCCTTGATTTGTTGCTGTTTTTGAATAAATTCATCATGAAGTTGTTTAACTTTGTTTTGTTGTTTCTCAAATTGTTTTTGGACAAATTGCTCATGTTCTTTTTTAAGTTTCAATTTTAGTTCTTGATCGACAGTAGTTTTTTGGATTGGACTTATAATGGTTTGGAATTGCGAATTACCAGGAGTTTCAGATCCTGAGAATAAGATATTTCCATTTTGCTGAACTAAAACTTTTTCTTGTTTAGGTTGCTGCTGTATAGGATTGCTGTTTTGAGGTTGTAATTGTTGATGATTTTGAAAGTTCGGATTAACTGATAGTTGAGGCGATGATTGGAATTGAGTTGCCGTAGGTTGCTGGAATTGTGCTACACTCAAAAAGTTAGGTAGTTGTTGTTGCTGAAATTGTTGTTGTTGTAGTTCTTGCTGTATCGTATGCAGTTGTTGATGCGTGAACTGTTGATTAGGTATTTGACCATGAAGAATTTGTTGTTGCTGACTTGCGAATTGCTGGTGAGGAATTGGTTGTTGTGGAACTAATTGTTGTGGAAGGGGTGTTCTAAATTGTTGAACATTTTGAACTTGAGGTAAAGTCTGCTGTATTTCTAGCTGAGGAATATTTGAAAATTGTAATTGTGGTTGCGACGATGGCACAAATTGTCCATTCCCAAACTGCTGTGCAGATGTCAAATGTGGGGCGGTTGGAAAAACTGGTTTTTGTTGGAAGGTTTGTTGGGTTTGTGTAAAATATTGTTGAGTTGATGGTTCAATAATTGGCAATTGCTGAGATTTTGGTGGTTGTATTTGTTGCGCGTTGTTTTGAAATTGGGGTGGAGGTTGTAAAGTTGGTGGAGATTGACCTTGGGGAAATACGCCCTGTTGAACTTGCAATGCATGGTGTTGCTGTTGTTGTTGATGTTTTTGCTGTAAATTACTTGCAGGTGCAAGTAAATTTTGTGGATTAAAATGTGAATTTAATACCCTTTCTGGTAAAGCTTGTTGAGGACCGACTTGTTGTATATACTGTTCACGAATTGTTCCTAGTGTTTGCTTTTGCAAAAGTGGCTGCTGAGGTTGTTGTTGAGATTGTTGAGGATCGAATGGACTTTGTGGCACCCTCAATTGGTTCTGTATGGATCTTTGGTGCTGCACATTATGAGGTTGTTGCTGCTGTTGTGATTGAATTGTTTGAATTGTAGATTGAGGTGAGAAGTTCGGTATAAAACTCGTTTGAGTATGGTGTTGTTGTTGCGGAGGATTGGCACCACGAAATTGATTACTATTATCAGGAAATCGAACACCAGCACTATGTTGCCTTTGGTTTGTTTTTTGTTGTATTGAATTGAGAGGAATTTCAACACTGGGTGATTGCTGAATTACATATTGACTTTGTTTTCCTTGAGGAATATTAAATCTGTGTTGATTTCCATGTGATTGTTGTCCTGTTGATATAAATGGTGGTGACTGACCAACTGAAAATTGTCTTCTATGTGGATTAAAGTGGTTTGGCTAAATGAAAAAAAAGAAGTTTAGGAAATTTTATAAGTAAAGCTAAATTTAACGAAAGTATTTTATAAAAAATCAAGAAGTAAAAAATTGACAATTAGATCTTAGCAAATTTAGTTGATTAAAATAAATTAAGGTATATTGATTAACTTTTTTTGGAAAGCTTTAAGTTTTATAGTTTTATGCTTTTACTTTTGTTAATGATGCTTTTAAAATTTTTTATTTAGTAATTCTTACTGGAGCATTGGAGTCTGAGTTAGGTATTAATTGATCTGAAATATTTATATTATGAATAATTGATAAAATTTTAAACAACAGACATTATAACTAATTTCAAGTTAATTATTTAAAATTTATCTAGAGAGTGAGTGAGTAAGAACAAAAATAGTTTATTAGTGCAATTTGACGTATGTAGTAATATTTATTGGTTCTCTTTCGTTAATAAAATTCATTGCATTTTATTTTAGAAAAATGATTTATAAAAATTTTAATGTGTTAAGTTTATTTGGAATAATTTTGATAAAATTAATCAGGTTTATTGCATTAAAAATTTTGCAATCGTATGCTAAACAACGTTAATAAAAGGTTAAAAAATTGGTTTAATTAAAGAACGATGGAGAGTTTTTGTGTTTTGTTATCAAACCTGTTTATGTTCCAGAACTTTTCCAACATATAAAAAATCCACCTAGAATGTATAAATAAAATGATAAAAATGTAATATATAAATGTTATGATTATTTATTTTTTTTATAAAATTTCTAAGTATCTCGGAAGAATAATGAATTTAGCGGGACGAGGTACGTAGTGGAAAAAAAGATAGCTTTGTTCTAAATCCTAACCGTATTATTTATTTATTAATTTTAACGCATTTGAATTCATAACGTGGGTATTGTGCTGGTTTTTTTTTAATCTTAATTTAAAGATTAAATTCAAGAACCAGTTTCGCTTGCTCATTTTCTATTTTAACGTTTTTAAATTATACGCGAATTGATTGATATATATTGTACAAAAATGGATTTATATAATTTACAAATTTTCAAAATTTTAATATATTTTATAATAATGTTAAGCAATTATGTAACAGCTGATCATGTGAATACTATATTAAAAATATTCTTGTTTCCTTATAGTGGAAATATTAGGAAAAAAAGAAGAAGATTTGCGACTAAGTAAATAACACTTATTTTAGTGTTTCAATCTGCAATTACAATTTGTTAACGACGTAAAATAATTGAAAAATTATAATCCCCATAGAGTATTACAATCGTACAAATTATAAGAGTATTACAATCGTTATATTATAGCAATTTAGTTGATGACAAAGATATGATTATAATATTACTCGGATAGTTATTTAAAAGTATCTTATTATTTTTTAAGCAATATAATGTTTGGTTTGTATAGAATGGGACTAAGTGATTAGCAACGTTTAAGTTTTTCTTGGTGGTTTTTGTAATGGATTTGATACTTTTCTTGTGTTGTTGTCTTATCTAAATTGTTTGATTACGAGCTAAAGTTTTGTCATTCTCCTTTTTTTCAATAATTTCATTTTTTTTTTGTGTTTATTTACAAATGATATTGTATAGATTAGATATGCATGAATGTGTATACAGAAATACGTAGTATGTGTAGTGGTATACTAAAATATTGTTAAGTTTGTTATACAACGTTATATATACTAGAGCATTTTCAGCAATCGGTTCGTACATTTTATTTGGTTATTCTACAACCCTTTATTCAATAGCAACTAGAAAATAATTTTTTTTTACTAATTATGTTTCCTACACAAATTTCAGCTGAAACATAATGTCTGTTTGGATCTAAGTCTGCTCTATATTCGGTGAATTCAATTGATTTATTTAGTAAAGTTTTAATAAAAGTGAATATGGGGATGTGTACAAGAGAGAAAATATCAATAATGGATACGGCATAATTTTGGTCACTACTATAGAATATACTTGTTTAAATACATAATCGTAGCTTTATGACTGTTGTGTTAATGTAAGTGAGTATTATAAAACTTCATGTTGGACAATTTTTATGCTTAAAATGTTTGTTAAATGAAAAAAAAATTAATTAAATGAAACTTTTAAAAAATGATAATTAAAAAGTAATTATGTACATAACTATAAGTATTATGTTGCAATTTATTTGGAAATAATTTTTTTTAAGTGCGTGATACATCAATGTATGTAATAAGTAAATATTTTAGGTTTATAAGTTAAAATCAATTAATGTCATGAAGTTTTCGTTTATGCTGGGAATGAATAAAATCTTTTTAATATTTTTTTTTCTAACCTTAAGGTTTTTCAAATATCAGACAATTAGAAAACAAAAAACCATGTAAAAATGTCATCCTAATTACGTATAAACATGAGTCTTTAAAAAAATACTATTATACACTATACGATGCTTAATTAAACCAGCAGTAAACTCAATCAAAAACTAAATGTTATAGTGTTTATATTCGCTTAGGGGAGATCTAAAGCAATTTAAAAAAAAATATGCGAGGGTAAAGATTGAATTAAATTGTTATTAAATAGAAAAAGGTACATTTATTTATGAGAGCGGTTTCGAAGAAATTCGCTGGAGCTCGTGTTGTAGATGAAATAAATGACAGAGCATTGATATTCTTCAAATTTCAACTTGATTGCATGAGGTTTGAAAAAGAAATTTTATTTTTCATCACACTTCTAGTTCTTATGATTCGATTAACTAAGTTTTATTTTGAAGGATTTTTTACTTAAGTTCCCTATTCTAAAAGTTGCAAAAATTTAGGTTAAAAAAATGATTCAAATACGAATGGACAACAAATTAATTACGACTTATGAGCAAATTTTTCCGAAAATTGCTTTATGAATTTCTACATCCAAATTCAGGTATAGTCTTCAAATTGGAAAAGATTACAACTAACAGTTTGCCAAGCTTTTTATACATAATTCCATCTCATTAATGGAGTTATTTAATGATATGGTATTGCACTCAGCTGAAAAGAAACACAAAAGTCTATTAAGCTACTCTTATATTTATGTCTTGCAGTAACTTTTGAATTTTCTGTTGTCTCATTTACCGTGTTTTATGCAGCTTGAAGCCGACTTCAAACGGGTTTCGAGGTCATATTGTAAACGCTATTTGACTTGAAATTTTTAAGCCAAGTCGATCAAATAATTGGTAGGGTAAATAGGTCCGCAATATAAACGAAGTAATTGAATTTTTTTAATATAATTTTAATGTCACAGTTTCTTAAAGAAATATATGCTCCAGCAATTCTTTACGTAAGAAAATAGTCTTTTACTTTGACTACTGCCATCTCTTAGCATTCGTTAAGAAATTTTTTAAAAAATTTTTACAAAGCAATAAATAAAAATTTTTTTCAGTTGAGTACTATGCTTAAAGTAATTTAACAATAATTAACACATTGCAGTTTTTAGTAATAAATTAAATTTACGCAATTTAAAAAATAAAAACAAAATAGTGAGCAAATAACCCTTATTAAAAAATCCTCAATTTTTGCTCTCAATTAATTTAATACTAAACGAAATGACCTAAAATTATTACAAAACTTTTTAATATTTTACGAGTATCATTTATTGCTTTCGATTAGCTCTTTAATATTTATGATAATGTGTGTGTTTTTTTTAAATTTGGTAATCTGCATAAATATTTTTAATTTATGAGAAAAAAAGGTTATTTCATAGTATTATAATATTTATGTGGGTACCTGCAAAAAAACAAAAAGCGAAATGCTCTTTCATCACTTAAAACGAATTAATCCAACAAATTTTAAAGTTTTTTTTTTCTGCAAAAAGGAAAAGAAACCCATAACATTATCTCCAAATTACAAACCAAAATACAATTTTTAAAACAAAAACAGTGAACAACTAATTTTGCGTTGATTAAAACTTTTTGGTTTTTTAAACTCGCTTATATCATTGCTATTTCATTCATTTCCATCAAACTTTGAAAAACTACAAAAAACGTTTTTTTTATTTACCAGTATTATATATATGCATACATTTATGCTCTAAATTAAGCAATGACAGGTTAATTAAAAATTAAGAGCTCACACACCAAACACACCAAATTATATTGCAATTTTTGAACGTATTTTCTTATATAATTTTTTAAAATGTTTAAACGCATTTATTTCCTCCGTAAAGATTGCAAAAAACTATTTTTAGGTCTTCTATGTGTGCAAATTAAAAATATTTGAATAATCAATATTGAAGCATCATTTTTTAAATTTATATTAAACTATAGCTTCTACTGGTATACTTTAGTAAATTATGTAAAAATTTAAGTAATTTTAAGAAGTGCAATATTACCGTTATAGATTATAACAAAAGTACATTGCATCGTTTTCATTAAATCGATTCTGTTATTAATGGACACATTTACTTAGATATTTGAATTATAGTTAGAAAATGGTAAAGTTGAATTTTATTAATTCATTAAAATTATTTTTCATATAAAAAAAATGAAATATTGGTAGCTGCATTATTAGTTGCAAAATTTCATATAAGTAGCGGTAAGATAAAATTTTCTACAGTGCGATAACTTCTAGTAAACATTATATTAAATATTCTTCAAAGCTATTTTAGAATTAATGATGCATTTGGGTTATAATTTTTACTCACATGCATTTTTATGACAACTTCATTTAAACAAAACAGTGTTATGCAGATATGGCGTACAATGTTTATATACTTGCAGTGTGAACTAAAAGTTAACGTACGTACGTGTGTATAAAGTGAAAGCAGGGATAAATATTAAAGTGAAAACAAGGACAAGTAGTTTTTCGCTTGTAAGTACAAGAATCTACAGCAGAAGCTTTGAACTTTATGACAGACAGAAAAAACGAGTTTGTTCGTAGTGGAAAAATTGTTTAATTATTGTTATATCGCTAATTTTTTTAGAATTTTTGGAAAAACCGTACATTACTCAGAACAATAAACCAAATTTACATGTCATTTACCTATATATGTGCGAAAATGAAAACAAAATTCTGTTCGTATATGCTCGCCACTTAAAACTTGTCATCAGATAACCATGAAGCACTGAGAAGTTGAGAACAGCACTTTGGAACAGTTTCGGGTCAGTTTCCATAACTAGTAATATATAAAATTGCTTCTAAACTTTTGCCGTTGATGTTAAAAAGATTTTCTTAAGAAAGTTTTTGTGCCCTGGATTCAGAATTTTATAGAATACTATGATGCATTTTGGATATTTTATATTTTAAAGCACAACACTATGTATTTTAAGTAAATTGGTTTATTTTGAATAATTTTAAGTCCTGGTTCAAAAATTTGTAGTTAGGCCTGTGTTTTAATAATGAGTTTGGCTCTTTTTTTAAAAAATTGTGTAACTAAGATAAATGTATCATAATAAAATTTGCAGTTTTTTCTTTTAATGTATGTAAGAAGACTCTATAAAAATAAGGGATATTATTCTTAAAATATTAAGAGAATATCTAAAAAATTAGGTGATTTTTAATAATAAAACGAAACAAAATTATTGAATTTCATTATTACAATTGATGGATCACATCAAAATTGAAAAGTTAACAATGTAGTGTCAAACAATTCATTAATCAAAATATTGATTCTATATATAGATTATTTATATTTTGCTTATGGCATATATATTAGGAACCAAGACAATTGTCAGTCAACACAACTAATTTTG